GGAGCTGTTTTATTTTGGTCAGTGACTGGCTTTGCGTAACGTGTACGGCGATTGGTCGAGGTGCATGTAGTCCGGCAACGCGTAGACGCGTCGCGGCGCTGGGCGCCGCGCAAAGATAGTTGCTCCTAAAATGGCCCACGGTAACGCGATCCCCATCTGGATGCAAAAATAGGATCCCGCGGTTATCCGACCACGTTACGGCTCTCCTCTCTCTCTACATCCTACTCTCTGACCAAGCGAGAATGGTACCGCTCTCTTTTTCGCTCGACACCTCTATATTTCGCTCTTTTCATTGCGCCAGGTAGTCACCGGCTGTGTAACCCGCTGTGACCTTCTCCAAGGCGAGATCGTTGAGGGTGGACTATCGATGCACTTTCTCTGTTATTATTACATAGATATCAAGATATAATTATATCTTAATACAATTATGAGTGGCGTTGTATTGTCGCTTATAATATTTTCCACGCGTTGTATTACCACTCGTAATATTTTTCACACGTTATATCGCCACTCGTGATGTATCTCACGCGTTATATCGCCACGCGTTATAGTACCATGCGTTGTATTTACTACGTGTAGTATTTCTGACGCGTTATATCGCCACGAGTTATAATACCACGCGTTGTATTTCTCACGCGCTATATCACCACGCGTTGTATTTGCTATGTGTAGTATTTTTGACGCGTTATATCGCCACGAGTTATAGTACCACGTGTTGTATTTGCTACGTATAGTATTTCTCACGCGTTATATCGCCACGCGTTATAGTACCATGCGTTGTATTTGCTACGTGTAGTATTTCTCACGCGTTATATCGCCACGCGTTATAGTACCGTGCGTTGTATTTGCTATGTGTAGTATTTCTCACGCGTTATAGTACCATACATTATATTTGCTATGTGCAGTATTTCTCACGCATTATATCGCCAGGCGCTGTATCACCACGCGTTAAGTTGCGTTATATTATATCTTAATATAATTATTTATATCTTGACTACCTTTATACTGATTGATCGTTGAGATTTGAGATAAATTAATAAGGTGTAATTAGGAAGATTTTAGATATGTAAATCGTTGTAACTATCAGGGTTTAAGATGCGTTTGACTAGATTAATTATCTGGATTTAAGATGTAGTGATTATTTTAATTATCAAGATTTTAGGTATTTTCATTGCGTTAATTATTAAGGTTTAGGGGATTTGTTAGTAGGGTGTTATCTTAAGTATCAAGATGAAAGATACTTTAATTGCCTTAATTATCAAGGTTTAAAAAGTATTTAATCTTAATTATCAAGATTTAAGATTTATTGGTTATTTAAAGTACTAAGATTTAAGACTTTTATAGGGAAAGAAAATTAGAATATTTAGTTTTTATGTGTGATTTATGACATGGGGTTTTTATTAGGTTGGGGTTTATGAATTCTGAGGAGAAATCGGTATTATATAATAATATTGACCTCAACAACTCACGCGTTGTATCATCACCCATAATATACCCCACTCGTTATATCGCCGCTCATAATATTTTCAACGCGTTGTATCGCCACTCGTAATACTTTTCACGCGTTGTATCGCCACTCCTGATATATCTTACATAGTGTATCTCACGCATTATATTGCCACGCATTATATCGTCACGCGTTGTATTTGCTACGTGTAGTATTTTTCACGCATTATATCGTCACGTGTTATATTACCTTACATGATATATTCCACGTATTGTACTTATCACATATCATATTTGTCTCACTTTGTACATCCGCACAATGTGTTGCACAGTATTACACAATTCGCTGTAAAAAAAAATAAACCACGCAAACAATAAAACATCACCCTAATAATTAACCTTAAACTTTTACTAAATAATAAACAATCGTCTAAGTATATACCTATGTAAATCATAAAAAAAACTCAAGTGCATGTATAAATAATTAAAAACCTAATGAATCATTAAGAAAACCGAATGCATAAAAGAACATGTAAAAGCGAATCATAATTACACCTCATAATTATGACTCATCACGATACACACACTACAATAATTAAATTGTGTACCCATGTAACTAAAAGATAAATAGCAGAAATAAATATTAAGCACTCGAAACAAATATCATATCACTTATCTTTCAATTAATTGAATAATACCACTAGATCTTTTTTACCAATTTATTACACCGCGTATGTGGATTGATTACAATCTTTTGAGAAAGTACCGAAACATTTGATGAAAATAATGGAACATAAAAAGTGTGCGTGTACATATGATGCAGGTATGATTACTTTCACATGTTTGCTCGTTTCTTTTTCTTGGACCGAATTTATTGCACGCACGCTGCATCGCGTGCGAACGTGTCTCGAATTTCTGAACGATCGCGTCACCGACCCTACAATCCACTTAGCTGCTTAACCGTGATAACGAAAGTGCTGATCGTCGAGATTCTATGGAAAGTTTATTTTCGTTGAGAATCTCAGGCTGCTACTGTTAATCAATTTTTACCAGACCAGACTGTCAGATTTATTTCCTAATATTTATTCAATGTTAGGATCGTTAATTGAAATACAAAAGATCATATCAGAATATCTCACTATTTGAAACATTTGTTATTTTCAAATTATTATAATAAGATGATAATAAATTTGGTAGAAATTATTTCGGTAATCATTGACTTAAAAATTGGTATCAGATTACTGATATAATTGTTTAATATTTTAGGTATCTATTGATTGAGGATTATAGCAATTCGGACTACTTATGTTCTCATTAGAGAATACATACTAACATTTTAAAAAATTGAGCAATTTTGACAAATTATAAAATTGGTTAAAATTACTTAAGTACGGTTAGGTTCACCTAAAAATTGGTACCTGTTCATTGATATAATTGTTGAATATTTAATATAAAATTTGTTTAGAAATTATTATCATATGAGGCTACTAATAGAGACATAATAAAAGCATACAGAATATTTGGACAATTCTTCTTAAAAATAATTAGAAACAATTTAAAAATGAGCGAGTTAAAAATAATTTAGTAATTTCGACAGCAAGGTAAATTATTATAGTAAAAATAATATAAAATAATGCAATAATGTAATTATATGCTAGAAAAAATAATATACCACAGAAACTATTAAAACTTCTATACATCAATAACTAAAATTACAATATACAGAATATCTCATTAACGTAGGTCCCTGAAACGGACGGTACCTGACGTGATTCTGAATAAGATTTCCCTTTGCAAAAATGGGATACGAAGCATCGCTTTTGAATTATTAAGAAAAAACACGGACCAATCAGAGCGCGAGGATTACGCGTGCGCAGACGCGAGAACGGCAGCATCGGATAACGCGTAGTTATCCAACGCGTGGTAATCCAACGCGTAGTAATGCAACGTGTGGTAATGCA